GCGGCGAGATTAATTCTCTTGAACTAATGGGATTCATATGAGTTGTGAGGTTCCTAATTTATTTACTTTGTCAGTGATGCACAAATATGAGCCCGTACACATCAACACGCAACGGAGGAGAGGGAAAAAAAACACAAATACAGTAAAAATGCTCCCACTTTACAGTAAGTGAGGGATCAATAATGATGGATGAGGGCCTTTTATGCAATCGGCATGTTCTCCTCAGTTCACAGCCATATGACACCACGCCTGCGGCTATCTCATTCTGCACTTCARCACTCAATCACATGCTAGCTTTAAAAATAACAGTTTGTTAGCACCATTGATTTAGCACTTAGAGCGTGTCCTTATTACTGTGTAATTATGGTCAGTGTTGACATAACAGCACAGAAAACCAGGCCTCCCACCCTCCAAGAGAATTTATGGGCCCTGGTTTTATTACGGCCATTTCGTGTGTCTGGGTCCCCAGTTAAGCGACGGCGTTGAGTCCTAGCCCAGGGCCCGTATTTCATTCATCGAGGTCAGGGATCTCGAGGAATCCCCCACAAGCGTAAAAACCGAACAGTGGCGAGGTCTGCGTGTCGACACAGGGAACTCCTCCCCAAGGGCTCATTAAAATAAACAGGCTATAATCCAAATAATGCCATTCACGAGGGCAATAAGACGCCATTAGGACGCAGAATGGGACACGGGTTGAGTCGCGTTGCCGCAGAGAACCAAACGCTCGGAGGCCGTCCGGAGATCCCATCCAAGTAATTTACAACCTGACCCTCGTTTAACGTTCGCTGGAAGATAATCAGGCTGCGCTCGTGCTCCGTCACCCAGTTATGGCCTTATCTCAGAGCTGCCAAAACAAAGATAATCTCTATCACAAACTAATGCTTCCAACACGGACAGAGTTTGCTTTTAGGGATCTTTGTCGAGGCAGTAAACTGATCTAAAGAGTGAAATATAATCTAGCGAGCGGGGCTGAGGCTGTTCTGTAGCGCAGAGTCAGCTCCCCCTTTGTTACCTCCAAGTACGGCGCTTTTGTCATCCTTATGTGAAAAATGAAGGTGGCTGTTTTGACATTCTCCTCCTATCAACCTGCACACGCAGATGGGGACGGCTGGCTTCTCATTAATCATGCGCTGCCAAGAAAACCTCGTTTAAAAGTCCATCTTCTGTGACGAGCATCACTCACCTGTGTTTTATATGTTGCTATGGAAAACAGGGACGATGTTTATCTATTTGAACGTAAAACCGTGTTTTAATCCACTAAAAGTGCTGGAAATCATTAAAACTTTTTGAGATTAAAAGTTGAGAAATTGCTTAGGGTTGCCGTGATTATTCAGCTCATTTAACGCCGTAGATTAGGAAAATCTGTCAACGTAAAAGTGGATGATGTAAGGATATTAGATGGGAAAGGATTTGAATGTGTTGAAAGATCATATGTTCGTCTAGAGGGAACATTTTATCTATTGTTGCTCTCTGCGTTGTGGTGACATGCAGTCTTTTATTCAGCCAAATCACACTACTGGCTCGTCCACTTAACGCCTACGTTATAGAAAAGCAATCAACCAAAAACTCCACCATCGTTCTGTGGATCTGGTTTGGCTTTTCTCCAAATGAGAAGAAATCCCCTCAGGTCRTTTTTAGTCAACACATCATTTTTATGACTTTATCTTTTCATTCCTTAAACAAACCAGACATTTGGAAAGGGCACTTTCTACGAACTTCTGGTGCGTAAAACTCGAGCCAAATCAAACATGCAGATCTGAGACCCTTCTGATTCAGTCTGGTCTCAGGTTCTGTTAACCAGCTGGGTGCAGGTAGAAAGTGGACATGAAGGCAGATGAGTTGCTGGGCCGACTCCCGTGAAGGGAGCAGCCGAAAGACAAAGACAATTTTTAAAATTTTAAAAGGTTGAACTGAATAAAGGTTTTTATTATCCACCTTAGTAATACTTTGCTACGTAGTTATGAGATTTTTTTTATTTTTATTAATTAAATTGTTTATTTATTTATTTATTTATTTTTGGGGGGTAATACCCTTGTTTCCTCAGATGTTGTGAAAATATCAATTTATTGTTTATATATTAAAAAATCATCAAAACAAGTCCATTTCAATAATTAAACCTCAGCATAACTCTTCTTATTTTTTCCTTTTTAAATAAAAGTTTGTCTATTTTATTACTTTGATAAATATAAAGAAGGCTGGGAGAGGTGGGGGTAGGATGGGGGGGTGGGGGTGCTCAGCTGGGCTTGCATGTAAGAAAGTGGGGCTTTGAGAAAAAAAAGGTCTGTGTCTCAATTCACGGGCCGCATCCTCATGAGTACGTAGCCCACCTGGACCATGTGGGCCACGTCYTTCCCAGTCCAGGTAGGCTGCATGAAACTGYTGTGAAATAAGACAGTCTAGCCTTAGCTTGAARTATGTTTGTGTTTGGATGCGTATTTACACRTCTTTTYACTGGAAGAATAACTTCACAATTAATTACGTGTAAAGAAAAAAAACATTAATAGTYTGAATTTAGCACCAGTATCACTACTTGCATTTTATTTAACATCTTATTGCAGCATGAATTTCATCARCTCAGTTGCTAAACTTACATTTAAAAACAAATTCTTCGATCCGTGATGAATTTCCAAACTATGCAGTTTGTTTCTCTGTTTAGTTTGCTGTCGGCGCATTGAATCCTGGGATATCCTCGGCCAGGAAGGATACTCTGATGTATCCTTGATTTTAAAGATTTTGTGGGCCACATGAAGAGGAGCCTTCAGATTGGGACAGCACTCGGCACGTGGCAGTGACGTATGCGGCCAACAAATGGCAGCACAACGGCTCAGCGGTTAAAACCGTTGCCTCACAACAAGAAGGTCCTGTGCGGAGTTTGCATGTTCTCCTCGTGTTTGTGTGGGTTTTCCCCGGGTGCTCCGGTTTCCCCCACCCCTAAATACATGTACAATAGTTTGCCTTCAGGCCCAGGCCTCCCTTGAAAAAGAGATCTGCAATCTCAACGGGACTTGCCTGGTTAAATAAAAATTAAATAAAAATAAATAAAAATGCACAGTGATGAGGATCCAGCCCATGAATTCAGACACAGCCAAGGAAACCATTGGTCCTAACAGTCAAGGCAGCTAAAGCAGTCTGTAGATGCAAAAGCACCAAGAAGGAACAAGTTTTAAAAAAGTGTTGGAGGGGTCTAAAATATGGGTGTTTCTCTCCTCTTTCTAATAGGTAAAGCCATGTGACTGAATTACTGATAAAAAGGATTTCCCATTGGTTTGCTGCAGCTTTTAAAATAATATTCCTACAACTAAGGCTGGGCAATAATTCAATAACAATATATTAATAGATACGTGTTCAATACCAACAGAAAACATGTTATTAACTGCTAAAGGTTGACAACTTTCTGATAAAATAAGCTAGGACGTCCCGGCTAAACAACACCAGGAAAGCTAAGGTTTACCTCCAAAAAAGCCTCAAGCTGTTAATAGATGACAAATGCCATCTAAAAAAATAATTGCTTGTGCTTTATTTTGAAATGTGTAAACCAGGGTTTCTTTCTCCTTTTTGCCACATTCAAGCGATATAGCGCTAGCTTGCTGGACCAGTCCACCATTGTAGGGTTAATTTGAAATTAATTATTGATTTATAATGCKGTTACATTGAAATGAAACATCTAAAAACTGAATAGGGTGTCAATACGACACCGCAACAGCTAAAAACTGACACTAAACGAAGTAAGCTAGCAAAAAAAACCTGTGGAGTAACACGTGCAGTGCCAGTTTTATGTTTCACCACCGTGCCTCATAACTGCCTAAAAATAAAAAAGAATGATGTGGAGTGAGAAGAGAAAATGTGCTACAGCTCGAGAGGAAATTGTTGATAAAAAAAGAGTAAAGGTTTGGCAATATTTCAGATATTTTAAGTTTGACAAAACTCAGACCAGTGTTGTCTAAAACTAATCAATAATTATCGATATCAACCAATATGAAATGCTTATAGCATTGAAGGTTTTCAGCCATATCACTTAGTCCCACCTACATGTTAAATATTCAAACTTTTAAAGTTTTAAATACGTAAAATCTTCATTGTATTTCTTTGTCATGTTGAATTTTTTTCAATTTAAACCAATATTTTGTAACTTCATTTACAAGTCTACATTTTATTTTGTGTTACATGCAAAAATTGATTGTTAAAATTAAAAAAGTTTCGACAAATAAAAATTAAAATAGTAGCGGCATCCCTAAAAGAGCTGTAGCCAAACCTCCAAATCTTTAACTCGTAATTATGAGAAAATAAGCTCCTTCCTTCTTCCTGCCGCTCCTCCTCAGATAATTTGGGCTAAACACAGAACATGATGATTCAATTTGAAATCGACCAACAGCAACAATCTGGGAACAAGTCCCACAACGCAGCAGAGCACGGGCGCCCGAATTACAAGCCATTGATTTCCAGTAGGATGTCTTTTCACTGGTAGATGCTCCGCATGTAACGACAAGATGGCTATAAAACACGAGGAAACAGATTGAGAGAAAAGAGCTGAGATGCAGGATGGCTTTCACCTGCAGTTTACATCAAACAGAAAGGAAGAGCTTCGCATGGCTGCCTGCTCAATTAACCCCTGTGATAGAGGCTCCATAATGAACAACAGCTCCATTACGCAGCATCCGAATGGTGCTTCACCCTGGCGGCCCGTGAACAGACAATGCAGCTGTTGGTGCTCCTCTGCTGCGGAGAGAGGCGAGCGCTCGCTAACGGAGGAATTTAGATGTTGGGGATATCAGCGTGTTCTGAGAGTAAACGAGCGCAGGGTGATTACTAGAGCTGATGTTGTTTAACCCTTAAATAATTAAAACGTTTCACACATCTGCTCCTGGAATCATATCAACAAGTCCTGGGTGCGGCTTCCATTAGACAGAGAAAGTAACTTTCTCCAAACTGAAGCCAAACTTGGTCCAGAAATCAAGGAGAGGATTAAATAACTTTTACATTTTGCTGACGGTGATGCTGACCTTGCTGATGATGTAGATGAGATCTCCTCTCTTAAAGCCCAGCTCATCTGGCTCGTCAGCCTGGCAGTCCCATAAACTCTGGTAGAAGTTAGCATATTCTGTTGACCCAGCTGAAAGGAAATACACAGATTCAAATCAAACCCACAGWGGCGAAGGGCTGCTCTCACATTTCACACAAAGCTTATTCTGCCTGACCAGAGTTTCCAACCTGATTTATTGTCCTCCACGCTGTCATCTGCTGCTTCTGGATTCTCCTCTTCTGAACAAATAATAATAAAAACATAAGAGATTTAGCAGAACCCAAACATTAAAACTTTGTCCTCTGAATTAATAGTGCTCAGTAAGTTTCAAATTGTTCTAAAATGATTTTAATGGTCGAAACTGCAAATGTTCAAACAACTACAATTAATGATTTCATTGTTCATTTTGATGTCAACACAAGAGTATATTTCTCTGAAGATGGCACCAAAAAAGTTTTAACTTTTCTTGAAGGAATGAATATCTCAGTAYGTGTTGTGAATGACTCTCAGCTACTACCACACCTAATTTCACCCCAATATCTTTAAACTATTTAATATAGGTCGACCGATATTTTGGGCTGATATTTCTGTTGTTTTTACTTGTATCTGCATTAGCCAATGCGTGCATGCATTTGCCAATACAAGAAAAACAAATAAYCTTAAGATTGTTTYTATTGTTATACTTCTACACTGTTTGCTCTCCGTTTTTAATATGTTTTGTTAATAAATGTTTATTTTTTATTCAAAATTAGACTTGTGTAACATTTGTTATCATTGTGTCACTTTTATCATGAATATGGAGGAAGAAAAAGCGATATCGGCTTTCAAGTGCCTGTGACATCAAATTTTTGTAATAAATATGAATGCATTTTTTGGAAGGAAACATTGACAGCATATTGTAAAAAAGATTTCATGCTGCTGAGATGAACAGTTGTTGAAATATTCACATGTGAAGTAACAGGAAGTGATGTCAAAGGGGAATGTCTGAACGTGAACAGAGAATTGCTACAAAGGCCAACAACAAAGACTGTAAAGAAGAATCTGATGTTTCTTTAGATTATTTTAATTAATATAATAGAGAGATGAGGAAGAGTCAGATTTCAAACAATATTGTTTAATGAACAAAGACCAGAGAGTTTTATTTCTTGAAGAGTTCCCCTTTGATGTCACTTCCTGTTTCACTTTGTCTGAGCAAAGTTCAAAAGAAAATATGTCAATTATGGGACATAATGAATAAAATAGTGTATTATACCAAGTTTCTTAAATATAAAAATGTTTTCTTTGACTTTTTGTATTTCATGAATATACATGTCACAGGCACTTTAAAAATTGGACTAAAAAAAACCTCAGCAGCACATATAGAGGTTGGACTGACCAAAATAATCCGTATCAGCCTTAAAAAATCTGTATCGGTCGATCTCTACTATTTAAGTTAATTCATTAGCATTTGCTACGATYACATCAAAGGATTACTTCCTGGGGTGTTTCATGAAAATCTATCTAGTGGTTTATGAGATATTTCACTAATAGAGCTGCCTACAAGTAGTTAATGGCACAATTTAAAGCCATCTTCCACTGCTCAGAAGAAGAGTTGAGGACCAGTGTCAGCTACTACCACACCAGATTTCAGCTCAATATCTGTAAATTTGACTGAGTTGCAACCATGTCTGTTGGCTGTGGTGGCCATCTTGAATTGGGTTGGCTCTAAATGTTTATCAGACATAGATCTATTACTTCCTACAAAATATTTCATTATTTTTATTTACAGATAAATCAAGAGCTATTTACTGGTAACATAGAAACAAAACTGAAATAAATATTGTCAAATGATGGAACACAGGGTGAAAATATGATGCTTTTTTAGTTTCACCAAGCTGTTCTTTTACAAACAATTAAAACCATGATGATCATGCAGACATGATGACAGTTTGCTGAAATAATTAAGAGAGAGTAATAAAAGGAAGCTTTCACATGAAAATATTTACTCTTAAATAGACAAAACTTCACAACATGGACTGATTTGTGCACATCCACCTGAATACAGCTAAATAAGTTTTTTTGTTTTTTTTTAGCGGAGCAGAGGCGGACGAGTCATTGACCGAGAGGCGTGGCAGACGGTGGTCCGATACGCCTGCCTCCGACTCCCACATCCATCCTGAACAGAAGCAGGCCGACAGCGATGCCGCGACGCAGCAACACTATCCACCTTCCAGTACAACCTGCGCCTCGCCTTCCAGGAAGGACACACACACACACACACCCACACCCACACACAAACTGTGTCCACAGGAGTATTTCTGCTCATGTCTGTGTTTGAAAGTCACAACCTCCCTGAACAAAAGCTGCTCGTTGCGCCACAAAAAAAGGGGTTTTAATTTTGTTTGCAAAGGGTCTAAACATTTGTTCGGTTCTCCTCAGCTGCTGTGAAGAGGAGCATTGCACCATGGAGGGGCCACTGCTATGGGCCGATGGTTTCTATATCAAAGTGATTCAATTTTCCAGTCAATAAAATCAGTCATCAGCACTAGAGCCAATGCCACCATCGCACTGCAATCTGCCTGCAACTGAGCCATGATGCTCCAAAAAAACTGATGGGTCTCATCAACTAAAAACTGATGCTGCCATAAGGGATGCAATTTCCCTAAATATTAATATTCCTACATGTTCTTCAAGGGGAAAAATTGGGATATTTTTGATATTTCTGTCCTACGGATGAAGTTTTGACACAGGCTAAAACATCATCGCACCATTTTAGGGAGCGGGCGATATTTATTCCAAACAGACAAATCCCAGCAGCTTCTCCCTCTCCTCCTTCAGTTGTGATTAGTGGAAATCTGAATAATTTAACAGCCTATAATCAGTGTGTAAAAGCTGTTGGTGAGCACAGAGAGGTGCGGGATGATTGATAAGCGACGGGGTGAGAAAGTGAAGGAAAGAGCTCGTCATTCGATACGCCATCTGTGGTCGGGGTCTGTACCTCTTCCCAGATGGCTCTGAACGACGAGCGTGACAGTTTGAAGACTGATCTCCCTTTCACCGGTGATTTTGGCAAAGGTAATGTACTCAGTGAGTGAAACAGAATCTTGATGTATCTTATTTAATAGAAACGGTGATGGACGACGGCCCTGAGAAGATCGGATCGCCTCTTTTGTCCTTCCTGGGATCTTGTAGCCGCCCCTCCACACAGGAGTGTACTCCCCCACCCCAACTTCAGAAAGAAGTCGCACACTTTCAATTAAATGTGTGACGAAAAGGCACAAGGAACTATTTTAGGTCATGAGAGATGTAGTTTTTACTTCCTTTCAGCTGTTGCTAGGCAATTTTAGCCAAAACTCATCTTAGTGGATTGAACCGTGAGCTATTTGTTGCCAGGCAACATTAGCTAATTGGACGTTCTATGACAGAGCATTTCCAAGCTCGCGGTGATTTCAGCAACGAGAACTGCTCAGAGACAAAGAGGCGGACCGGAGGGAGCAGGTTTCAGGCCCCMGCCAATGGTGAAGGCAGAGTAATAATGTTTTTTCTGTTTTCGTTTGTCTTTACCAAAATCTCATGAACCACTGAAAGGATCAGGTGTATATCTGCAACTGATCCAATTTTAGAGTCAGTCCAAATCAAGATGGCTGCCGCAGCTAACACAGAAATGACTAAAACATAACTCAGTGAATTTTACAGCAACTGAGCTAAAAGATGGCGCGGTTGTTGAAAACATCTTCAGCAGGTACAAYATAGGGCTGAGCGGTAWAYGTGACAGACGGTAGAAACGRTATGAAGTTGGCCTACGGTAGAAATTGACCCTCTACCGTCCTGTCGTCAGTTATGTCATCGCACCTGTGTCAACATGGCTGCGAGTGCAGAGACAACTGAGCATGAGGAGTTAGAAATATTCTGAAAATAAACGAAGAAATATAGTGTTTTAAAACACGTATAGAGAGAATAAATCCTGAAAATTTCCTAGGGATGCACGATAAATCGGCATTCATATCAGTAATGTAATATATATAAAACATTCTTTTGTACTTCTGTTATGTTCATTTGTACTACAGCAAAAATGCTGGGTTTGATTATGATTACAGTTTTCTGCTAAATAAATACTCTAAAAATTACATTATCTTTGCTTTTTATGATAATTTTCTACCGTGATATATACCGTTACCGAGAAGGGATTCAATTTATACCGTGATATGAATTTGAGGTCATAACGCCCAGCCCTAGTACAACAGATAATATAATTACGTTTCTCCCATAATGGCTGTATCGCTGTTGTTTTTCAGCACAAGATGATTTTAGTCCAAAACTCTGACATGAAAGGCTCTTTAATTTACAGTGAGAGATCAGTCTGGGTGTTGTTTCCACCACAACATCCTCTTACCCGGCAGCTCCTCGTAGATATCGTCACCGTCTTCATCAGCCTCCATCATCTCCTGTCCTCCACCTCCTCTGCTTATGTGGGAGGCCTTGGGCAGCCTTGGTGGGGTAGAGTTGGCCAGCCCCTCAATGTCATCATAGGTCTCCTCCTCATCCTCGTCGTCGTCAACGGGGATGACATTGGAGCTGAGATCTATGAGAAAAGGTTGCAGCGTGTGATAGGTTAGGGTGAAGCTGCAGCTCAGCGTGGGACAAAAGACGCAGATGTGCATTAAAGGGTGAAGTGATCAAAAAGCCTGCAGGGTGTTGGCTGAACAAAAGGAAAAAATAAGTATAAAATACTGAATTTAAGCCAAAAATAGCAATTTCCATTGAATATAGTTTACAAATGATAGAAATAAGCTATCATTATTTGTATTTTTTATTTTAAATACATAAAAATACATTATTTCCAAATATATGACAAGCTGTAAACCTAATCTAAAAAGTAAAACAATGCTAGAGACTTTTTAATAAGCTTGTCTTGTTTAATTGTTGAACTGAAAACTATAAAAAAAGGTTTTCCTGAACTTCATCAAATGGTGCAGTTTAATTCAAATATTAGTCTTTTTCTTGTAAGTTGCAGACTCTATAGCTGCATAACTCAAAAGCAAAATGGCTTTAGAGAATTAAAACACAGGACATCGAGGAAAATCATCTCTGCTTTCAGGTATCATAAATAATCATCCATATGCACGGCAGCGAGTTAAAATTTGGAGCAAAAGCTGTGTTTGGAGAACGTGAGACAAACTGCAGAGTGTCCGTTTCTTCCCGCAAAGCGGTGGCCCGGCCCTGAGCCCGTTTTAGAGAAGACGAGACACGAACGCTGGCTCAGATGGAGGAGCTGTCTGATTGCAAGCAACTGGCCACTGCAACACAGAGTATCAGGTCCTCTGCCGTCCAGCAGCAGCCGAGCAGAAATCAATGTCACTGGAGGATAAACCAGAACATCTACCAATCAATTTCCTGTAAGCTGGAATCTGGTGGGAGGGTTGAGCGGGGAGGAGCTGGAGGAGCAACATGATGGTGCAGCTCACATGGGGGGGCGACACGCCGAACGAGGAGCTTCAGGACTCTCCAATTCGGGCGTGTAGTCCATTAAGATAAAAAGCTCCCGCCCACTTTTCACCTTTTTAAGGTTCTTCTATTAGAAGTTACCACAAATCAATCTAATGTCAGTTATATTTCAGGCCAACGTTGTAAATAAGAAACTGTTTTTAATGTTTTGCCTGGTGAAATAAAGGTTAAATGAATATTTATATTATTTTTATTATTGCACTGTCTGAAAACCATATAGCAGGTTTTTTTCTGAAGCGATCACATGATACAGCTGCAGAAAAACATAAAAAATAAATTAAAAAAAAAAAGGAAAGAGACGATGGCTTACCTCTGAGAACAAAATTAATTTGGTCCACCCATTCTCGGGCCTCCTGAGGGCTGCTGGCTGTGAACTGCAGGGAGAGGAGAAATAATGTCACTATTTCACACCTAAGAATCTTATTATCACCTCTGAATTGTCCAGATCTCTAAATATTATTGTAATAAAGAAATACAGGTGAGAATTTCACCTTTTTGAACAGCATTAAAGTATATATATA